TGAGTGCCTTCATCATATATTTTGCAAAATTTGGCATACATCTCATTTACTTCCTTGCCTAGCAACAAGTCTGTCCAATTATACCCATGAAAAAAATGTCTAAGTTCCCCATAGTGTCCTCTCTTGAAATCAAGTTTACCAACTATTTCACTGTCCCCATTCTCTACTAGATTATATCACATAGCGTATTTAATGTCCAAGAGGACGTGATCACTCTTTCCCAAGGGAGGAAGGTACTGGATGTCAAGTACCACCACCTCTTTCCTGGTGAATACTAGATCCAGTACAGTGCTGACGGAACATCCCCTTCCTTCATTCTTATGGCCTGCTTGACGTGTTTATACATGAATGCCTCCATGATGAGGTTTACAAATTTGCCTGTCCAAATGTCTTCTGTTCTTGCCTCATAGGCCTCCCAGTCTATTGCCGTAAAGTTGAAGTCCCCCCAGTACCAACAATCGGGATTTATCTTTGTCAGCTCTTACCATAATCTCTCTCATGACCATTATGAGGCCCTCTCGTTTATCATCCAGTTCTTCCTTTGTCCATGTGTTGCTTGCTGGTGGGCTGTAGGCATTTAAAATTATCTGCTTATCATCTTGATTCCAGAGCTGCAATGCCATTATGTCAATATCTCGGGGGGTTTCAAATATTAATTCTCTTACCTTCAGGTGTTCTTTCATCAGCATAGCCACTTCTTTCCCCTTCTTAGTTTTCCTGTCACATCTCCAAACTGAGTAGCCCCTTGGGAATACAACCTCATTTACAATATTTTCTTCAAGTTTCGTCTCTGTTAATGCGACAATATCTGGGACTTTGAGCTGAATTATATCCAACTCCATTATTTTCGATCTCACTCCATCTATGTTAGTATATACTACTTTCAGGAATATGTTCCTGAAAGTTCCCCTTCCCTTTGTTCTTTACACCCCCTTCCTTTAATGATTTTGTTGCTTTGTCTCTATGTACCATTATGTATATATTACCCCTTTTCTCCAGTCACTAGTCTCTCGTGATGGATGACTAAGCTGAACTGGGGTACGTGGGTTTCCTTATCTTTTCCCATTAGGTTCAACTCTTACTTTAGGTTCTTTTCAGAATGGAGAATAGACACATTCTCAGCAGGTTTCTCCTATTGAGTCCCTTATTGACTGGCCCAGCTGTGGTTTCCAGCTCTTTGAGCCTCTAGTCCGAATTTGAGTAATTTTCCGCGGATCTGCCACTTTAAGCAGACAGGCCCGAAGATGTTTCTTGATGGTTCGAGGCTCTCCACTGATCATTTCTTGATCATTGCATTTGAATTTTTTTTAGCTCGTGGACCATTCTTTGTATAATCCACAGGTGGCTGATCATTCTGTCTCCTAACTGTGGGTTTAGCTGCCACGACAATATGAGGTTTCTTTGCCCTCTTTCCATCACTTGTCCTCAGTTTCTGTACTTGTGGTTCTCTTGTTCTTGTCTTGAATGCTTGTGAATGGGCTTTTCATGCAGAATACTTTAAATTTATATCATTTGTTCTTGTCAAAGCTGCTGCTGTTAGTTTTTTATATCAATGTTTTGTCGGTCCTCATTCACAGTGTGTCTAGCATTTTTTTCACCATGAGTAACACACATCTAGCAAGCTCTCACCACCACCACTTATAGAGGATGAAATAAACAAGAAACTACTATAAATGGATAATGATGGATAATGATACTTAGAGATTTGACTGTATTACAGACTGTGCACAAGGTTCATGTATAAGTGAAACTGTCAGAGTACCCAGGGCAAGTTATTCCACCAATGCCACCACAGCAAAGGTCACGTGTGACTGGTCATATGGTACCTGATGTTCCTTTAGCCCGTGAACATGAAGACGACTCATTTTCTGGATTAGTGACCAGGATTTTAATCCTAGTAGTATCAGTGTTGTGGTTAGTGGTAGCAGTTTACATGGAGTTACGGAGCAGCACTTTGCTGCATCAGCAGCTTGCCCGGCAAAATTATGCCATGTGATGTCGCATGGGGCCTGATGGCTGAGTGGACAGTGCTTGGGATTCGTAGTTCTAAGGTTCCGGGTTCGATCCCAGGTGGAAGAGGAAACAAATGGGCAGAGTTTCTTTCACCCTGATGCAACTGTTCACCTAGCCGTAAATAGGTACCTGGGATTAGACAGCTGCTACAGGCTGCTTCCTGGGGATGTGTAACAAAAAGGAGGCCTGGTCAAGGACCGGGCCACAGGGATGCTAAGCCCCGAAATCATGTCAAAATAACCTCAAGATTTATGATACACCCCTTAAATTCCAAGTTTCCTAAGGAAGAAGGGCATAAGGCACACATGAGTGTTGTTTAAGTATACAGAGAGACGAGGAAGAAGATACAAGATTGTTACTATGTGGCAAAAAGAATGCAGCGCCGCCTTTTGCACTGTAAACTGCTTCAGAGATAATTACACCTTCCAGAACTTCCAAGTCTTTTCTAATAGAGCATAAACATGTATATAGTGAGTCATAGCATGTATAGAGATATAACAACAAAAATACTTTTGTCATTTACTAAACCATTTTGGTGTGCATATTAATGACATACATATTTATACGCACTGATGTTCTTCATGATTTATTATAGAAATTTCTTAAATTACACGCTAGTGATTATTACTGCAGAAAGCCAGTGAAAAAACAAATCAGTGACAAAATATATATGTATAAGTTCACTGCAACTCTCACCACGCATGTAGCCCGGGCGACCTCCACAGGGTGCCAACTGCATGAACACTCGTGAATCAATAACATCATCACAAGAATTCATCCCTCCACCACACCTAAAGAAGGCAACACAGTTTTTTTTGTTTCCCTGTGATTAGGAAATGCATTGGAAATAAGTCAGAATTTATTATCATCATGCACACTGGGGGTTGTCATAAATCAAGTGCGCAGCCCAGGGGTTAATGTATGAAACTATTTATTATTATATTTCTATATTGTACTTATATTATATTTTTATGAAGCAGTTAAATTGTCACCGACTTCCCTTTCCTGGGGGTTTAGTGACTTTCTGGTGTGTCCACCTTTTGTCATTGTAGTGACATAGTACCAAGTAGCCACCATAGAAACACTCCCAGAAAACTACCATCTAATGTAATGAACCACCTCTTTTTAGTTGTCCTTGGTGGCTTCATCAAACCCCTCCCTTTTCCCTTTTCTAGTAGCCTTTTCTTGGTTAGGGGTGAGCTATGATCCCCTTGCTACCCGTGCATTTTAAGAGGGGGGGCCAGGTTTTGGTCTTTGGTCACTAGTAAGCATATACAATACTGTACAGTATTTGTTTTACAAGGGCCTGACGTGGATTGAACTGGATGGAACTTGCCTTGCAGAGAGTACCAAGGACCACCAGAAATAAGAAATTAATTACATTCAACACTTTTTACGTTCTTGATGAATATGGAATTCCAAAAATCTAGGCAGAGGGTGGAGTGGGGTAATATCTGAGATTTGAGCAGACCATTAACCAAAAATCATCTAATGTTATTCTTCAGTTTATCTTGCCATTGTTAGGCCCCATTTAGATTACAAGGTTCACGTAATTAGTTAATCCCAGAAATTTCAGACTTTCGTTATTAAGTAAATAATTCATGTTATTTAATTCATGTTCACTAGAAAGGTAGAGTAATAGTTGAGAGAATTCAAGTATATAAATGAATAAAATGGTAAGACAATGAACGTTGATGTGTTACACGTACAAAAAGAAAATAGAAGAGGCCTGGGTAAATACTGGTTTGGCAATAGTTGGTTTATGGAATAAATTAACAATGAACATACAGCAATAGGCACTGAATTGTTTCAAGCGAAGGTTGGACGTACACATGAATGAGTTGGGTAGGGTATAAATGGGAGCCGTGTCGCATGGGGCCGTTTACTTTACTCTTAAGTTCTTGTGTAATACCTAAGGAAACAAAGTAACCAAGAGCATTACAGAGATATTTGAAGGTACTGCTTACACGGAGAGAGTAGTTAGGCAGTGAGATGAGCAAACACTCGGTTATATCCCATAGAGATTTTTAGCCTAGTTAGTCCTAACTGATGAGAAGGGACTATTATGCTAGACTCATATTTACACAATCCAAAGGCTCTTCACCTAAATATTGCTTTTGGAAAAAAAAATTCCATGGAAATAACTTGTCTAGCAAAATCTTTCTAAAACATTTCACCCAACTTAACAATTAATGATGCTCTTTTAAAACATTACTGTAATAATTGTACAAAATGATTTAGCACAAATAGAAGAGTTGCTCCTTGTATGCACAGATAAATAAGAATGTGTGATAAGTTAAGGAATGCTTCAAAAACAAGCAAGTAATGCAACAGAAATAAAGGATGTCAAACATTTGTGAGGAAGACTGCAAAAAATAGATGCCTCTTAAGTGACAGTACAGAGGTCGCACAAAATGCAGTAAACCACAAAGTGGTACTTGTGTTTGTAAATCGTAATATAAGTAAGCAACTCCCCATCTAAAGATTACTATATATTAAGTATACATACATACATCAATATCACCCACTTTTCCACGTTTATGTGGGCAGGAAACATCAGCCAGCAGAAAGAAGAATATAGTTAAGGAATTAAATATATTAAACAAGACAAATACCAGCCATTTGCTTATTATAATCACTCTCACTGTGAACCCTCGTGGAAAATCAAGCATCCCCACGCTCCAGCAACCTACCATTTCATGTCACAATGTGTACAGTGCTCCTCATGACTCATCTAACAGTACACAGTACATCCAATTCACCTTGATTAACTACTTCCAACTAGCTTCGTCTCTTACCACATCCTGCATGTGGCCCTTATTCACCCCTCACTTCTTTACACACTATTCATCAAGGCATTATTGATACCTAAATAACTATAATCAACAGACATGACATGAAAATGTTATAACCTTAAACAAATGAATCTTCTCAGTTTGATTAACTGCAAGACAGAATTTATTGTAAGGGCAGGCCTTGACACATACCTGTGAGGCAGGTGGGGTCTGGAGAGCACTGTGCTGTGATGAAAGACTAGAACTCTGTGGTGAGGTAAGTGCATCAGGTGGAGGTGGTGGTGGAGGCTGATCTTCAATCCCTCCATCACCACCACTCCCAGTTCCTTCTACTTCGGACACCGACGTACTTAGGTTCATGCTCAGATCTGTTAGCCCGTCACGCACCACTGCAACAACACACAATAAAATAGCTGTGCATAATAAGTTAAAATATGAAAAATAACTAATACCGTAATAAAACATAAAAGCAATTCGAAAATTTTACCCTTTCCACTGGGCAACACAATGAGGGATATTCTTAGTAAATATCCATAAGCTGTGCAGTTTTAAAGTACAATAGAATACCTCGGTATTCAGGCATATTGTAATTGGTTCCTAAAGGCTGGACGAATGCCGAAAAGTATGAATACTGAAAAATAAATTACCATAAGGAATAATGTAAATTGGATTAATCCAGTCCAGACCACAAAAAATCAGCATTGAATGTAATGAAACGCCATTTTTTGGGTGAGTCCCGGAGGCCCCCCGGAGCTATCCATGGCTGATATGGATACCCTAAATATTTTGCATCAGTCTATGTGAGTGGAGTTCTAGGCCTACCAGGGACCACGAGCCAGAACCTGGCCCCCTCACAGAGGCACGGGGAGCAATGGCTCATAGAAATGCACATGTGATTTGGAGCATTCTATATCTGCCATCGACCAGGACAGGCACCCAGAAAGGTAAGCGCCACAAAACAAATCCCTATTCTGGTTAACAACAAAAATCGGCAAACGAGTGGACAGGACTCCCCAATAGAAAAACGAGCAAACAAGCATGACATCACACGAGCCGCGCAACTTCCCCCTCCCAGGGAGGGGGAAGGAGAAGCCCCAGACCCTCGCGCCGGCGATCCCTATCCCCCACTTCTGAGGTTGGATGTCAAAAACCGTGAAATACCACCGACCGGAGGGAGGGAGGGTTGCTGGAGAGCCTCCGGGACTCACCCAGAAAATGATGTTTCATTACATTTAATGCTGGCTTTCTGGGGGAAGCCCCTACAGCTCCCTGGAGCTACTTCACAAAAGACAACAAAAGAAAAAGGGGACTTACCCGGGAGACGGTCGGTGCTCCACTCCTCAACTCGAAGTCGAGACAACGGGCTGCAACCGCCGACCCAAAGCAACACAAGCCCGACTTGGCCCAGGAACGTTCACAGCCAGGACCCTGTTCGACCGCCAGAAACCTTGTGCCCGAATGTCAGCCCAACATATTGCCAAAGACGGCCGCAAGAGCAGCAAACTTGCGAACGTCATGGGCACGGGGATAGACCGCAGGCTGACTGGATTTAATTACCCTGCGGACAACCTGAGAGACCTGAACCCCCGAACAGGCAAGAATGGAAACCGGATCAACCCAAAGCATGTCCCCAGACACAGAAGCCGTGACGGACAGATAACAGTGGAGGGCCGCAACCAGACAACACATGATGCACCCCCAGCCTGACAAACCAAATATCAACAACCCAAGGACCCCACCGGAAGGTAGCAGTCTCATTCTTCGCCAGAAAAGAGGGAGATGGCTGTAGACGGACATACTTATGACCACGACCAAAGAAACAAAAACCTCTGCGCCGGAGAAGAGCATGAAGCTCCACCACATGACCCCCAGAGGCTAATGCCAAGAGAAAAAGAGCCTTAGCAAAAGGTTCTAAAAGCTGAACCCATGGGACGTGTCCACTCACGAGGGTGAAGCAGGGGGTACCACCACACAAAATGACCCTAATATAAGGAGGGTGGGAGAACACAATGCAGACCCCCCACCAGGCAAAAACAAAAAGAAAAGAAAAACCACGCAAGTGGACAATGTACCCAGAGGGAACACAACCGGCCGCTGTTCTAGGTGAAAACTAGCTACCCAGTACCCTGTTCCCCACCAGAGCAATAACTATCACTTACCCCAAGGAAAACAAGGGAGGAAAATCCCCAAACACTCAGGGCGGCCAAATGCCAAGCAGCGAATAACCAACAGAGGTAGACCCAAAGCGACTTGTGGAAGAGAACCCCAAGCCCCAAGGGCGGTACCCACAGGGCACTCAGGGAAGGAGACCCTAAGCACATGCAGCCCGAGTACCTGAGAATATTACTCCCAGCTCTCATGACCACCATAACCCTTTAACTGCGCGGCCTATAAATATGACACCCCCCCGGTGCGCAGGAAATAAATTCTCTTGAAAAAATTCTGTTGTTTTTTTAAAGTGTCAAAAACCCTTCCCCCAGTATGGGTATGTCAAAAAAATTTTGAATTTGTACTTACTTTGGCTGCTATGGGGTCCGTAAGTTGGCGCGTGACGTCATCATTCCCCGTTCGCCCGTGCAGTAAGCTCCCGGGGACGGTGGGGCGCCCGGGGCGGGGCGTGCGAGTTGCCGCGAATATATTTTTGTTCATTTTTTGCGCACAGTTCCAAATACATTTTATTTGTTTTTACGTGCTAATCCTATGTATAATGAACACGTACACTATATTATGGCAGTAAAACATCCGTACTGTCTGAGGACACTGTGTTACGTGCATGACACTTGTGTACACATATGTTGTACATATTTACCATGTATCATGCTAATTTATGTATATATACAATCTATTTACAGACTATACACTGTCACACACTATATACATTCACCATCAACACATTCAGAACACCGCGAGTGTGAGCAGCCACACCCAGCCAGCCCTCCCTCACTCCAACATCTTACTCGCCAACATTGCTCCTCCCACCATACTGTTATTGTATTTATTAAACGATTTACACATGTTATATATACCTATCTACATGTTTTATTTACCAGAACTATGCAAGTAAGCCAGTATTATGTCCAAACAGTACAGTGGCCACCATACACTGCATGACAAATCATTTAGCAGACAGCAGACAACGCCACAATTATGACGTCACTTCCCTCACCAAAATAGCTCCTCACAACATACTCCTGGTGTTGTTATTACACTATTCACACACTGTATATACCCATGTACATGAGTGTTCCCATAGCGAACCACGAAGCTAGTACGGTGAGCAAAACAAGAGTTACTGCCACACAGTGAGGCTACCTCCCCAAAATTCCTCCTTCCTACGCACAACGCTCATTATAACCACAATCCTGGTCACTAATACCTGTAAATGAATAACTGACCACAAGTTTATTTTGAAAAGGAACCTAAAAAGTCATTTGAAGATTCCTAGATGGACGAAATAATGCTGTGGTGCTGTGGCTAGCGCTGTGAACATTGTGAACAGCATTGAATCACTGATATTTGAACACTGTACCCAGTCATTATCACACTCGGGCTCTTCTATAATACTATCATGGCTAAATAAAACAGATTATATATTTTGACAATATTAGGCGATGCTGTGGTCACACGCTGAACAGCAGTGCTGTGTGCTCATGCTGCGAGCGCCAGCCTTGGTTGCTCACTCACTACTGAGGCTCTGACACCCGGCAATGTGGACCATGATTTTTTTTTAAGATGGCGTCTGTTTACAAGAGCCCTGAGGAAGCTGATGTGAACCCCATGTAGCCGCAGGAGTTTTGAATGGAACGTGAAAAATACAAACACCCGGAGGCGGGTTGCGCATCCGAAGCCTGGGCCTGCAGGCACGTTGCGCAGTTAAAGGATTAAGAGCAGCACTGAAAACAATGAACAGCACTGAGAGAAGACTGGAGCTGGAGCTACATGACCATACACGATCCCATCAGCCGAGGAACTGGGGCAGGGATCGCCGGCGCGAGGGTGTGGGGCTCCCCCTTTCCCCTCCCAGGGAGGCGGAAGCTGCGTGACGTCATACTTGTTTGCTCGTTTTTATATTGGGGAGTTCTGTCCAATCGTTTGCCGATTTTCGTTGTTAACCAGAATAGTGGTTTGTTTTGTGGCGCTTAACTTTCTGGGTGCCTGTCCTGGTCGATGACAGATATAGACTGCTCCAAATCACATGTGTATTTCTATGGGCCATTGCTTCCCGTGCCTCTGTGAGGGGGGGGTGGGGCAGGTTCTGGCTTGTGGTCCCCGGTAGGCCTAGAACTCCACCCATATCGACTGATGCAAAACAGTTAGGGTATCCATATCAGCCATGGATAGCTCCAGGGAGCCGTAGAGGCTCCCCCAGAAATAAATATATTTATGCAATAATTACATTAAGTAAATGCACTATACTTGCATTTATAGGGAATTGATGCCATATGTAGAAGGTGGTGATGCAGAGGAAGAGATGTTATTCTTTGGCAGGGGAGTTCCCTACCATTTTAACTTCTGGCCGTTGTGCTTCTGGGAGAGTTTACCTTTCCTGTCTTTACCTGTTACCTCTCATTAGAATTACTGGATGCTCTTTCTTACAAGAAACTTGTCCATGGATGATTGCTTTTGCCTGCACTTTAAAATGTTTCTGAAGTGAGATATAGCATTGCCAATCAACAGGTTTATAACACAGGTTGTCATAGCTTAGTCAGGGTGATATTTTAAGAAACTTTGCAATTCTTTTATTAGAGAACTAGGGACCACCTCCCTACCCTCATCCTCTGAAGAGAACTTCTCAGCTGCCATGTGTTGCTGCTCCCTGTGAAGGTCCTGCAGTTCTGTGGTGAGCTCTGCTCTGTGCTCCTCCATTAACTCCTCCACATTATCAGCATTAACCTCTAAGTCCAATGACTTGTTCAGACACACAATATCCTCCACAACAGTGTCAAAGTCTTCAAAGTCCCTTTCTGTTAACATGTTACCTGGCCCAGCGTGCGACCCTCAGCACGCCCCAAGGTTGACCGAGTGTTTCCTGTGAGCGCGCACCCGCACTAAAATGTATACTCTTCAATTTTCTCACCTCAATTTTCATGCTACGTTATTTATTTCGGTATCAAATCGTTTGCAGTAGAATTCTCTAAAATGAATACTGTATTTGCACACAAGGTTAAAAGGCCCAGCATGCCACCCGCATCAAACCCCAAAAATGGGCCGAGTGTTATCCATGAATGCACACCCGCACTAATATGTTTATACAGAACTCTTTTTTCAGTTTTCTTACCTCAATTTTCGTGCTAAGTAGCTCATTTTGGTATGAAATTGTTCACAATTGAAAGGCGCATACAGTATTTTACAACTATAATAATGTCTATTTTGTGTGTCTTGAAAACTATTTTAAGTCCAATAATAATTGAACAATAAATGGAATTTTAGCTAATATTTTAACTTTAAACGCAGTGTGCGTCCTCGCACACACAGTATACAGTATTCACATATGGATGTGTTATCGGTAAGACAAAGTGTTAAGAACATCTGGCCACAGTTTCCTCCAGGCAGAGTTCATGGTCCTGTAAGAGACTTCCTCCAAGGCTTTGTCTATGAGTCTTAGACAATGTAGGATGTTGACGTGATTCTTCAAGAATTCACAGAGGCTTAACTGGGTATCAGTCACTGCAAAGCACCTTTGAAATAGTGCTTTAGTGTACAATTTCTTGAAGTTCGAAATGACCTGATGGTTCATGGGCTGGACGAAAGGAGACGTGTTCGGAGGCAAGAACTTCATTGTAATAAAGTTAAATTCAGGTAACAACTCCGCCTCCATGCCTGGAGGATGAGCAGGGGCATTGTCCGTCACAAGACACTCCTTCCAAAGCAATCGATTCCTCGAGGTATTCCTTGACATTAGGACCAAACACTTCAATAACCCATTCCATAAAAAATTGCCTGGTTACCCAAGGTTTGGTATTAGCCCTCTACATCCCTTGTAACTTACTTTTCATCACATTGCTTCTCTTAAATAACCTCGGGTTCTTAGAGTGGTAAACTAGCAAAGGTTTTACTTTAAAATCCCCACTTGCATTTCCACACAACAAAAGGGGCAATCTGTCGTTCATCGGCATGTGTTCTGGAAAGGACTTCTCTTTAGTGATACAGGTCCTCTTTGGCAGCCTTTTCCAGAACAAACACGTCTACATATTCTCTAAATTTAATAAAAAAATTCTCGGCAGCATCCTTATTAAAACTGGCAGCTTCCCTGTGTCTCACTACACTGTCTATGCCACTTTAAATATCTCAAACGATGCACAACTGGCTTTAAATACATCACTACTAGCACTCATTCTTGAGGTTTTCTGTAAGAGATCACCATGCAGTTGTTTTCCTTTCTCACAAATGATGACCTCAGATACACTATCACCAGCCAACTGTTGTTCATTTATCCAAATCAATACAAATTTCTTAACCTCTTCAATTGTCTGCGATCTATGTTTTGTAACGGCTTTCACTCCTTTTGCAACATCAACTGTTTTGATGGCCTCTTATTTTGTATTGAAGATTGAAGTACAGTACTGAAGATATTGTCAATTTTGGCAAACCAATCTCGGTAACGAGCAGATACACGGGCACCACTTTCATATTTAGCTACGAGTTCTTTCTTCATCTCTATCGTGATTCTAATCATTTTTCTTTTTGCCTGGCTCTTATCATAAACTTTCTTAGGTGACATGGTGACTTATTTACACTAAGAATATCCAAAATATCCAAGAGAAAAGTGTAATGAGTTGTGCACCGAACAACAGCTGTGGTAAAACAAACACATAAGAGTTGCATGTTTGTGTGAATGCTGAGCAAGCAGACGAATACAGAACATGAACACAAATGTCAAAAAAGACGAATTGAGTCAAAATAATTTAGATGTTTTATTGAATGTATTCTAACAGTAACAGTAAAGAATCTCTGCAAGCTCTCCAGATCAGTAATTTCTATAGTTTTGAAAGGGGGGCTGTATTTGTACAACAGTATTCCATTCTAGTGGCTTTAGGCATTGTATGTACTAGCTCTATCTATAAAGCCAACAAACTTTGTAAAATCTCTTTATGTATGTACCTTTACCTAAATAATAATTATTATTATTATTATTATTCTGGAGAACACTAGCATCTTGAAACGTATCATCATTGGTATAGTATCTCATTTGAAAGGTTCTTGTTATCCAATGTCATTTTTCATGCAGCTGTGATAGCTACTTTATTGTGTCCTTTAATGGTAAGGTTTTCCAACATGATTACACTCAAATTCTTTACATTGCTTTTTCGTTCCATTGCTTTTTTTCGTTCGATTTGACTGCATTTTGAATGTGGTTTCCATTTTTATATTTCCATTTTTTCCATAGTGCAAGAGCTGGAGCTTCTCATTAAATACCATATTTTCTGTGGCCTAATGAAAGACTTGATTTACATCAGATTGGAGGTTTGCTGTGACCTCTGTTGTCTACTCACATAAAAATCCTACTGTCATCTTCAAAAGATGATACGGTATTATAGTTTGATTCCTCTTCTATGTCTGATGAGAATGAGAGAGTAATGGAGCAAGCACAGTACCCTGGCGCCTAACAGCTGAGTGGACAGCGCTTCGGATTCATAGTCCTGAGGTTCCGGGATTCGATCCCCGGTGGAGGCGGAGACAAATGGGCAAAAAGTGTCTTTCACCCTGATGCCCCTGTTCACCTACCAATACATAGGTGCCTGGGAGTTAGAGAGCTGCTATGGGCATTTATTACACATCCTGGGGATGTGTAACAAAAAGGAGGCCTGGTCGAGGACCGGGCCACGGGGATGCTAAGCCCCGAAATCATCTCAAGATAACCTGGGGGGACTGAGCTCTTCACGGTTGATGGTGCAGATTTTACTTTGTTGACTATTATACACTGGGTTCTGTTCGTCAGGAAATTGAAGAACCTTTGAATACAATTGAATACATTTTATGCTGAATAGTACTCATTGTTTTTACTGTATGGTACCTTTATTAAGGACTCTTGTTGGAATATGGAAGACAGTGAGAAGGAGAGGTGTTAGTGTTTGGAATGGGAATCCCTTTCCATTATAACATCAGGCAGTGATGACAATCCTGGGGTACTCTCTCTGTTATGTTTTGCAGGCATACCACTAGGACCTGGTTGTGGCTCATTGCTTGTTTGTCTCACTAAGAATCTGTCTGAAGACACTTGTTTTTGCTTACGTTTTAACACTTGTTTGCAGTGAAACATCACATTGTCATTAAAAAAGTTAACAACGGTCTGCTACAGCTTTATCTGTGTAAGTCTTTTCAGCAAAACGTTGCGGTTCTTCCCATACCACAGACATTTTTCCTAGCCAGATCAATCACGCACATTCCGTCTTCATGTTAATGAATGATCATTTGTTTTTTTCTCTCTATCGTCATTCTAGCAACTATTTTCTTAGGTTCAACTTTACCACTGACTTTCTTGGAACCCATATGGTGATATATAATACGAACTTTTATGGTAAACAACCAAAAAAGAACCCAATCAATTAAATTATTCTCAGAATTCAAGCGCAGTTATCACTAGATGGGATACAAGCATAAACTGATCTTACCGAGTAGGTAAGCGAAAGGCTACCGAGACATATTTGCCTACTGTTCCAAAATTGAGGCTAATATGTCTCAAGAGGCTTGGTGAAGACAGAGTCAGGAGGAGCTTGCCAGGTAGCAAGCAGAAAGAGGCCACCCTATGAGCCCTCCCAGAAAATTTGTATTACCTTTAACCAATTTGTTAAACACACTGAAAGAAACATTTCACTGCTCAGTGGATGAATATTACATTTCAATCTTTCAATTGAGATGTATTCAATTTGCAGTTAACAGTTTTTGTACCACATTATGGGAAATAAATTTTTGAACACGAGTTATACACAATTTGTGTACATAATAGTACATAATTAGCACTCCAACCCATTAAAATACTTCACACTAAAATTATAAAACCCTCACCAATTGAGTCCTGAGATGCACTCAGGTCTAGAGGACAAACACTCGCATGTCCAGTGAGTGGAGTGGCAGGCTGGAATCTTAAGGTTGCTTCTTGCAGAGACTTGGTATTAATCAAAACACATCGCATCACGACTCCATCCACAACATCTACACTGCCACTATCATCATTATCATCATCGTCCTCATCATCATCTGTAAACCAAAAGTGATATAATAATTACACAGTTCCATAACATGTCCTGGTGTGATCATTTCAACAGGTGGAACTCCAAAATGGTAGCATACAATCACATGAAAACACCAACTTAAAATGCTTCTAAAATTTAATTAGATTTAAGAAAATGTGGGCAAGAACTGTACGTTATTTTGTTAAATGAAGACTGGCTGTTAGTATGTTCCCAATAACAGATATTAAACTATCGCCCACTAACAACGCAGCATTGCATTGTGTCGTTATCAGCGGCAAATTGGTGGCGGCTTCGGGAGGGAAGCGCCGCGGTTTTGGGCATTATATGCATATACTCTTGTGGAGAATGTCATTGCAAACACAATGATACCAAAATGAAAGACCTAGGACCAGAATTGAGGTACAAAAGTTGAAAAGAAAAAACACTTTATTGCTCTTTATTAGCGCTCACTGGGGTAACGCTCCGTCACTTTCTCTGTTTGCTGTGGGTGGTACACCTGGCTTTTGGACTTTATATATGCATATAGTCCTGTAGGAAATTCTATTGTGAACACAATGATACCAAAATGAAAGACCTAGGTCGAGAATTGAGATGTCCAAAGTGAAGAGAGTGTACACATTTTATTGCACTTGCGCACTCTCGGGTAACACGCTCTCACTTTCTCACTTTCTCGCCGGGCTTTTGGGCTTCATATGCATTTAGTTCTGTAGAGAATTCTATTGCGAACACATTGATATTAATTTGAAAAGCCTAAGACAAGAATTGAGATGACAAAGTAGAAAAGATTATACACTTTTCAGTATTACTGCCGCGCTTTCTAATGTCAAGAGAGGAGCCTTCGGGGTGGCGCCCTGTGGCGCAGCGCTCTCTTTCTGGTAACCTTGGCCCACTTGGCCCATATACTTCTGCAGAGAATTTCATTGCAAACACAATGATACCAAAATGAAAGACCTAGGACCAGAATTGAGGTAACAAAGTTGGAAGGAGTATACCATTTTATTGCTCTTGATTAGCCCTCACAGGGGTAAAGTGCTGTCACTTTCTCTGTTTGCTGTGGGTGATACGCAGGGCTTTTGGAGTTTAAAATGCATTTACCCCTCTAGATAATTCTATTACGAACACAATGACACCAAAATGAAAGACCTAAGACGAGAATTGAGGTGACCAAAGTGAAAAGAATGTACACATTTTATTGCTCTTGTGTGATCCCAGGTAACTCGCTCTCACTTTCACTGTTTGCTGCGAGTGGTAAGCCGGGCTTTTGGAGTTTATGTGCATATACACCTCTAGATAATTCTATTGCGAGCACATTGATACCAAATTGATAAACCTATCACGAGAATTGAGGTGACAAAGTTGAAGAGAGTATACACTTCTCAGTATTACCGCGCTCTGTAATGGAAGGCCTGGAGCTCTCTTCTGGGTAACCGTGGCCTGCTTTCATCCCGTCGGCGGGTGGAGCGCTCTACGGGTTTTGACATTATATGCATATACTTCTGTTGGGAATTCTATTGCGAACACATTGATACCAAAATGAAACACCTAGGACCAGAATTGAGGTGACCAAAGTGAAAAGAATGTACACATTTTATTGCTCTTGCGCGATCCTGGGTAACTTGCTCTCATGTTCTCTGTTTGCTGCAGGTGGTAAGTCGGGCTTTTGGAGTTTATATGCATTTACACCTCTAGATAATTCTATTGCGAACACATTGATACCAAATTTAATATCTTAGGACAAGAATTGAGGTGACAAAGTTGAAAAGAGTATACACTTTTCAGAATTACCGCGCTCTCCTCTCGCCCTCCCAGGAAACGCCAATCCCCACCTTAGGTAGTGCGGCATTCGCGGCCGCAAAGCGCGAAAGTGTTAAAATTAATACGTATCTTCACAACAAGCACATTATGCAAAATAGTACAGTACCTTAGCTCTATAATACTAGAGCACTCCATTATTAATCTCACACCTCCATTAACTCTTGCATCCTTTCTCTCATATACCATTACATTGTGGTTACCTTGTGTAGCTTCCAGGAATCAATGGCTCTGCGACAAGGCCTCCCGGTTAGTCGTCTGGTAAGGAGGAGACAGACTGACCTTTGGGGTCAGCCTTAACCGGCGCAATGGAGAATAACAACTGTGATGTGGTCGTGACGTGTTCAGGGCGTCACCTCTGCTACTGATCATGGATCAATCAATATGATAGATTCCCGCTCTTTTGCTAAAACGCCATTGGTCAAATTGTAACCCCTTGTGTTGTGTCCCATGAGGAGCCCTGAGCCCCAGGCAAGAGCATTCACGTGAGGGAGCCCATGCACAGAGGACGTGTCCTGTTCTGTCTATCGGCCAATAGACAGAAGAACACCATCTATTCCTCACTGTCAAGTTAAACTCAGCGTCTTTTCGATATACCAACGATCGCCCGGAATCACGATCGTGACTATATTGTTTAGAAGCCTAGTGACAAATCACCAGAGCGAAACAGACTGGTATCAGGTAACCCCTGGTGACAAATTAAGATCATCTGTGAGTGACCTAGAGTGAACTAAGGAGTGCCACTGCCTAAGTAAAGTGTGTGACTTTTACCACAGTGTACCTGTACCACAGTGTACAGTGTAGTGCATGGTATATGTTATATCTGTGTTTTGCTTGTCTTCCATGGCATCTAAGGCCATATGGTGATCTAGCAACTGTGAGGGGGCAGGAGCACCCTGTTTTGAATTTGTGTTGTCCGGAGTTATGTAGATGTGTTACCATGTGATTTGCAATCTAACTTCTTAAAACACTTTCAAAGATTTTTATGATGTGTGAAGCTTGCCAGATAGCAAGACACTATTGATCTATAATCTTTCGTATCTGCTTTACTACCTACTTTGTGAAGTGGTGCAATCTCCACTGGTTTAAGTATGTCAGGGATGATGCTAGTATCGAGGGTCCGTCTCCATGAGATATTTAGGTCCACTGATATTTATATGATTCTCTCAGCTTGAGTTCGATCTTTTCGAGGAGCAATGGCCTATAGAAACCCCCATGTGGTTGGAAGCATCCTATGTCTGCCATCGACCAAGTCAGGCACCAACCCGTTCTCGCAAATTTAATAAGTCAATATTGACTTATTAAATATGTGCATAGGTGACATACTTAACATAATTGTTTCCCTTGAAAAGCTTCATAGAAAACACCGACCTTACCTAACCTACTTAGTATGTTAAGATAAGCATCTTATTGCTTCGTAATTACAATTATTACCTAACCTATACGTATAATAGGTTAAGTAACAATTGTAATTACGAAGCTATAAGATGCTTATTTTAACATACTAAGTAGGTTAGGTAAGGTCATAGGTGACATACTAAACATAATAGTTTCCCTTGAAAAGCTTCATAGAAAACACCGACCTTGAGGTTATCTTGAGATGATGAGGAAATCATCTCAAGATAACCTCAAGGTCGGTGTTTTCTATGAAGCTTTTCAAGGGAAACTATTATGTTTAGTATGTCACCTATGCACGCAACTAATAAGTCAATATTTGGGTTGTGGGCACCCAGAAAGGTAGGGCCCCCAGAACAAGCCCAATCTGGTTAAAAATTCCTACTGAAAGCCAAACTGTTGGACAGAACTCCAAAAACTAAAAACAAGCATGACATCACAAGCAACACTGCTCCACTGTCTGCGCAGCTCCATCCATCCCAAGAGGGGAAAGGGGGGACTCCAGACCCCCACACCGGATATCCACCCCCAGTTCAAAGGCTGCACGTCAAAAGCTGTGAAAAACCACCGACCCACCGACTGGAGAGAGGAAGGGATGCCTGGGAGCCTCCGGGTCTCGCCCAGAAAATGGTGTTTCATTACATTCAACACTTGTTTTCTGGGGGGAACACCTTCGGCTCCCCAGGGCTACGGCTCAATGGAGCTACATAAACAAAGATAAAACAAGAGAGATTTTCCCGGGAGGCAGTCACCACTCGCTCCTAAACTCAAAGTCGAGACAACTGGCTGCAACCGTCAACCCAATGCTACACATGCCTGACTAGGGACAGGAACATTAACTAGGTAGCGAGCAGCCAGGACTGTGTTCAACCCCCAAAAACTTTGTGCCCAAATGTCAGCATTTTACAAAAGATGGCAGCAAACTTACAAACGTCATGGGCACAAGGATAGACTACAGGCTGACTACACTGAATAATCCTGCGGACGACCTAGGAGACCCGAACCCTACAACAGAAATGGAGAAACCAGGTCAACCCAAAACGCGTCCCCGGCCACCGAGGCTGTGGCATGCAGGTAACGGCAAAAAGCCGCAAGCAGATACAACACATGATACACCCACGGCCGAACCAACCAAGCATCAACAACCCAAGGACCCCTCCGGAAAGCAGCAATGTCATTCTTCACCAAGACTGCCCAAGTCTCAGAACCATCTAAACCCTGCCCCGACTCCAAAACCCTCAGACGTTTTGGGGCGGAAGCAGGAAGGGGGGGGGGGGACCAAATCGAACCACAGCAAGGGAAGGATCAGCCTCAGAACTGAGGTGTGGATTGCCAGCGCAGGGTCTGGGGCTTCCCTTTCCCTCTCCTGGGAAGGGGGAGCTGTGCAGACAGCAGCGCAGCAACGTGCGACGTCATACTCATTTGCTCGGCTCGTTTCTGTTTGGGGGAGTTCAATCCTCTTGTTCGGCATTTTTAAGCAATTTTCACCAGAATAGGTGTTTGTTTTGGGACGCTTACCTTTCTGGGTGCATAACCCGGTCGATGGCAGACATAGAATGCTTCCTACCACACTGGGAGTTCTATAGGCCATTGCTCCTCTCACCTATTCTGAGGGGGCCAGGTTCTGGCTCATGGTCCCCAGTAGGCCCACATAACTCCATACATATGACTGATGCCAAAGTCTGACATTAGCATATCAGTCTGGATAGCTCCAGGGAGCCGACAGGGCTCCCCTCGGAAAAAACTCAAAACATTTTTTTCTGTGGAGAGCCCCTTCGGCTCCCCGGAACTATACTG